AGGGTCTATGTAGGTTCATCCGCACCATAATTGCAAAACTTCAGTGATGCAAATGAAACAAAATCTAACGGTCATGTCATTCAGATCCTACCAAAGCGGAAAGCTGGCTGAGAACTGAAGCGAACACAATCTAATTTGGCAGCACAAGAAGTTTCTCGCAAAAGTGGGCTCCCTTGCATATTGCCGCGCACGCGACGTCGCGTGGTCCTGGAGATCGTATCATATGCCGGAGTGTTTAAGTAGGCAGTGTGTAGCCTCGTAATCTGCCACACTCTCCTACAGCAATGGATACCCGTCCATGTCTGCGTTCGCGTCTTCAGCCAAGCGCAGCATTCTTGTGTGAAACACAGAGGGGAGGTCGTACTCCCGTTTCACATTGGCTATGTACCTCCCCCCCCCCTCGACGGAAAATTTTTGGGTGAAAAACTGGACTGGAAAATGTGGGAAATTGGTAGGTAGCTGTTGGGGAAGGGAGGAGGGTCGTACCAAGACATCACTTAGGTAGGGGGTCTTACTGACACCCTCTCCCGGAAGGGGAGAGTCGTACTTACAATACTATTTCACACTACGATACTGTACCCTGTCTATAGCGCTGTTGCGGTAGAGCATTGACACGAGCTGCGGCGCGTTGACGCATGTCATCGTGAAGTATGAACGCGGCCAAAACAGCCGTACTTTACAAAGCCCTGAGAAAGGCTATGAAGCCGAAACGTGAGCCGAATAAAGAGAATTTTGGCTGTAGTTAGAACACCTATTGAGCGTGATAGATTTCAAGTAATGGTGATCACTGCCTTCTTCCAGGGTAATATTCTGGATGCATCCGAAGATAGGCATTCTGAAGTTCTGTGGGAGGTAATGTTACTGAAAAACTTCAGTTAGTCGGACAAAAACACCTTCCGAAGATTCAATATTTCAGAAGCTTCATTTTCGGGTAAACGAAAGTGCAAGGCAATTTCTTCCAATGAAATCATGAGAGATCGCTCGCCATCGTGCCCATCTCTTAGCCTCAACTCGGAAATAGCACAGTTGCCACGCCAAAGTGTATGTGAATATTTCAAAAATTCTTTCATGACCTCGTTACTGAAGTGGCTTTGCAGGGCGACGAACAGATGCGATAATAGCGTCTTTTAGATCGTTCACTGTGGTAGTCGTCGATTCTAATCTTGTCATTAGTTCGTTCGTATTTCGAACATTTAAAGTTCGCTTTTACATCATGCTTCTTCTTATAAAATACTTGTAGGTCTTTCAGGGTCAGCCATGGCTACAAACGACATGGTTCATGGCCTTCGTGGTTGGGGAGTATTTTTTCTGCTACTTTTTCATCACTATACAAAATCTTTTCCTAATGGATACGTAGGAGCAGACATGTAGGTTCTAGATAGACTAGTATTTTTCCACCCTTTCAAATAAAGCTACCACAAGTTTGGCTAGTGCACACTGCCCCGCATGGGAACCCCATAGAGTCGACAATCAGCGCATCGTCGTAGATGAAGTCAGGTGGCACAATAAATTGACAAGGCGTACATGGTCGATACTAACCCCTAGCACGAGAAGTTACTGTCCCCCTTTGCAAGTTCTGGGTGGCCCCTTCTCCAGCCAAGGGGACCATTACATACCATATGTGTGGGGGACCATACATATCAATATGAAGCGTTGCTATATGGATGTGTGAATACATGCGTACGGTTGTATCTATCAGAGAGGTTGCTGGCACGATTCCAACGGGAAACTCGTCCAAAAGTGCTGCACTGTGGAAAGAAGTTTTTCGCAGGTTTTTGACCGTCTACTTCACCTTTTTGTCAATTTCCCCTCTATAGTATAGCACTATTCTACTAACTAGCTGCAAGTACCAAATTATCGTGCCTTATGTCTTCAAGCATGCTGCATATTTCTACGTCCCAGCCACCCAGACTCGGGAATTTTAGTAATGGGAATGCTTTGAAAAAACTTCCCCTTGAAGCTCCATATACAGTAGTGGAATAGTGCAAAACTGCCTGTGCTAACATCTCCCGAGTAGGTGCACGATAGATCAACTTCCACTGCGGTAGCTGCTTGTTTTAGTAAGTACAGTTTTGCAGAATCATTGTGGTATCTGGTTTTATTGCTGGCTATGTGCTCCGAAATGAGCGTATCATTGATCAAAAGACAATTCGAGACTTTTGTCTAAAGCGGTGAGTGGTTCAACATTTTTCCTTGACTTTGAGCACGTCTAAGCATTCATTCAGCATTCTAACTTTTGAAATATGTCTTTAGTTGACGCTTCTCATTTTAACTCCACAAATCAGTTTTCACTCAACATTCTCCCCATGGCGTAGTGTACGTTGATAGGGATGGCAGTGCGGTAGAGTCTTGTTCGCTGCGGACGATGTGGCGTGTCTGGGGAAGAACTGCGCCAAAGCGTTCTCCACCTATTGTGGAAGCTATCAAGCAACCGCAATTTGTGGAAAACCAGCTAGCGTCGCGCCAAATCCATCCCCCTGACGCATTCCAGCAACCAAGCATATGCTACGGCGAGTCGTAACGCTCCACATCTCACACCTGCCCGAAGAAGACACACTGATAAAGTGCAAAAGGAAGATTATTTTTGCTGCATCGCTCTTCAAAACCGGGATAAATAAGTGCAGTCATGATCCCTGCAAACGATAGGGCGTGTGACGGGGCGTGGCTCGAAGCGCAGCCGAAGCAATCTTTCCTGCTTGTTTTTCGGACTCAAGGTGGCATCACTGATGGAGAGGTCGTTTTGGCAGCAGTCGAGTCCACACCACTGTCGAACGCCCTATCGGTTGCGGGGATCATGGCTGTACTTCAAGTTCATATATGCAAGGTTGCGCTTTACCGTAACCCAGAGATTTCGGAAATGGAGAGAAGGGCAGGTGGATGTAGAGAGCAGTGAATTCAAGTAGCAAAGAAGCGATTTTTCCTCATAGAGGACATCACCAACGGAGGATCCTTGTGACGGCTCATAAAAATTGATGAGTGCACTGATAAATATCTTTTTGTACTTATTGCTGAAGACTTTCAGAGCTAAAAGTATTCTCCCACTGTACTACTTGGCATTATTTATCATACTTATTTTCTGCTACGTATTATTGCCTATTAGTTATCTGCAGACCAATCTGGAAAAGTCCAAGACAGCACTGCTGATGATTTCAAATATAAAGCTTTCTTGCTTCGAAAATAATTTCTCTGTCATGGTACGTAACTATGAGTTCTAGAAAATTGAAAAATCGAAAAAAGTATAAGAACTAGCGACTAGCTAGAATTTAGTCTAAGGTATAGACTAAGGGTATTAGTCTAAGGTCATGTAAAATTGAGCTACTCTAGCACAACAGCTCGCCTCAGAGCATTAAGGCAGCGTTCAGACTTCGCGATGACACAAGTCGACCAGACTACGTAGTACGTTGGGAGATCCTTAGCAAGGGGGGGGGGCATATTCGAGTATTTCGTCGATGGGGAGAGGGAGAGGAGCATAATTTCCTTTGAGGTTCCCTTTGAAATCAGCGGCATTGGAGGGAGAATTTTTTCCCGGTGTATGTGTTATATAACCCCGCCTCACCTCCGCTCAACAGCAAAAATTCTGGGGAAAAGACTAAAAAAATCCTCGGAAAATTTCGGGAATATGTAGGAAAGTGATAGGAAGGATGGGAAAGGGAGTCATATCGGGGCGAGAATGGAGTCATATCGGGCGAGAATGTCGGGGGGAAGGTCGACCAAAATTAATTCCCAGGCGGCTGAACAGTGCCGCGTCGTTTCGCTACCTGTAGAGTGGAACTCAGCCGCAGAGGAGCTTCGATCGGCGCCGGCCGCTTGTGCTATGAGAGAGTGTAAGATGACGAGAGGGTAGGCGCTGTCTTCTCGCAGTCTGATAGCCTACCATACCTTACTCTCTCAAGGCAATAACACCCGACGCCCTCCGATTCTCGTCGGTCGCTGCGTTCCCGTCTATAGTGCTGGAAGCGCTGTCGCAGTAGAAACGCGTCGACGAGCGCCATTGCGAAGTCTGAACGCCGTCTAAAATGCTTTTTTCTTCAGAAGGAAGACGCCACTCGGCGTAAGAGGAAGTTTGCTTTGAAAGACTGTTTTTGAAAGCATTACATAAAAATTACAACTTTCTTTATTAGCTCCCGTCAATCGAGGACGCTTTTGGCCACACATGGTTGCCATGCCTATTGATGCAATGGTACATAGTGGCTCCATTTTTGTTCTGGATTCAAAAGCGAACCACCGACAAGGAGTTTTTCTTCTTCGCAGGTAAGTCTAACACGAAAAGACGGCTCAATTACATCTATAACAGCGCTCTGGACCTCTTCTTTCTTTTACCCTATCTTCCGTGATCGCATGCGACATCTTTGGTCACAGATGCGGCCCAACGGTTTTTCAGGTGTGTCTGCATGCTCTTTCGGCTTCTCTTTGTTTTCGCGGAAAATCATTACCAGTTACTTCATCCATTGTCGACTATGGCAATTCTGTGCAGGAATCACTGCTGCCTTGTATCTCCCAAGGGTAAGGATCTGCTTTTACTTGAAATTCCATCTAGGCCACAATCAAGTGCGTTCGGGCGATTCATTCACGAGTTGAGCGCGCGATTATCGCTAATCCATGGAACGCTGCAACTCAGTCCAACAATAAGCGAAGGGTTGCCCAATTTTGAGTGCTATTGCACAGGTGCGACCATCCGTAGCGAAGCACAGTCGACAGAGGTCGTGCGCTTCCCAAATCGCGCGAATAAATGGCACTGGTCGCGAAGTATGGACGCATCTTTGGGCTACGTTCATACTTTGCGACAGCGTCCTCCAGCGATCAGCAGCGTCCACCAGCGCTCAGAGTATCACGGTATGGCAGCGTTGGCGACTGGGAAATGTATAGATATCAATCTAGCGTCTAACATCGTCCAACAGCGAACATCAGCATCCACCAGCGACCAGCAGCGTCTTGAGGGCTAGGGAGTTATGGATATCGATCTAGCGACCAGCAGCGTCCACCAGCGACCAGCAGCGTCCGGGAGTGGAGGGTGGAGAGTAGCGATAGGAAGGGTAGCAACAGCTGGTGGAGTAGGCGGAGATGGGAGGTTAGCAGACAGCAGGTAGAGTATGGGGAGATAGCAGGGAGGGTAACAGACTGCTGGTACAGAGTACGGGGCGATACCAGCTGTCTGTTACCCTCCCATCGCCCCATACCCTCCACTACCGCCTGATGCTCGGAACGCTAGTGATTGCTAGTGGACGCTGCTGGACGCAGCCGCAAAATATGGACGCATCTTTGCCTCAGTATGAACGCAAGCCGCCTTTCTGGGCCCCACGGAAAGAT